AATAGGTTAGAGACGAAATTGAAAGCAATTTGGGAGAAGAGAGGTGAAATTTTGAGTTCGATGGGTGTTTTTGAAAGAAAAAATTAAAATAGAGGGTCAAAATACAAAAAGAGAAAATTCAGCCACATGGGATGACCTAGTCAGTAGCCACGTTGAAGCAGAGCACGCTACGACTGAAACCAGAAACTGTGGGCAAAGCCTGGTAGAGCTGCTGCGATTGAAACCCTAAAACCCCTCCAATGAGCCCCTTCCCGTTTCCTGTTTTATATATTTTTCTGATCATTGTGTTCACTATCCTTTTCTGTGTAGGTTAGTCGAAGAAGAAACCCTAGCCATGAAGGAGAACTGGTGAAGCTGCTGTACTCGGAGACATCCCATCTCGCTGGTAGGTTCAGTTTCTTATGATTTCTAGCCAACCGGGGCTCCCTAACATTTTGTTTTTGCAGAGATATGTGTAAAAACTAACCAAAACCGGCTAGGTCGAGGCGAACTGCCGTCGTGGGCGGTAGAGTCAGCACCGGAACATAGTGGCACTGCCGTACCAGAACCCTTAAATTGGCCAGAAAGAGCTTCTAATGCTGATTTTGGATTTTTTGGGGTATTTTTAGGTACATGACGAGTATTTTGATTCCCGTAGAAAAAATTCAAGAAACTCGAGACCCGTTAAGAGGCGTAGTAAATAGTACGATATTTTGAAACGTTGATCCGGTAAAGATCTCTCACCTTATTCTCGGTTATAGTAAATTGAGAATTAATAATCGATAATTGTGTGTTTTATGAAAAAATTAAAACAAGTCACTAGTGGAGTCAGAACCGGTTAGTTCATATTTGTCCAGATTCTCTGTTTATTTTTTTGTACTGTCTATATTTGCTTACTACTATATTGTGCATAATTTACTTGATGATTTTTGTAGTCTTTTCAGTTATTTGGTTATTTAGTTCCTCCTGCATTGTTTATTCGATATTTTGGTTATTGGTTATTTGGTGATACTAAACTATATCGTTTGTTTAAGTGCCATTTGAGTTAATATGTGAATATAAAATGAGATGTTGCTATATTTTAGTGGTTGTTTGGATGATAAGAGTCTAAATAAATGAAAGTTTACTAAGCATCCTAGAAAGGGTGGATGGACTCGGTACATAGGGAATTATACTGTGGATATTACCTTAGTCGGATAGGGTTGAGAAATCTCATACCGAAAGAA